GTATCTGATTAACATATGTCTATACATGCACAAGCCTATTCTTAACCAAATAGGACAAAAATACTCATGTCAATTACAATCTACATTTCTGCAACTGGTCACATGGCCTAAGTTGGTATTTGTAACTACCTTCCTCTACTACCCATTCTGTATTTCCACCACCATCAGCAAGCACCTCTGCAGGTCTTGGCTCTTTCCCTGGAGGAGTGACCCATACTTTCATCCCTGCAGGGTCTGGGCCATTTGTTGTCCTGTCTGGAATAGGTTATTGCAGTTCTCCATTGACCTTAATCACAGGACATGGTAACACGAAAAGTCACCCTAAGGAATCTCCTGTCTTCCAGACAAAATCTTCATTACTTCCATTGTGGAGAACCAGTCCAAATTGGGGGTGGAATGTGGCGGTTTGAATGAAAATGTCCCTCATAGGCTCTAAGTGTTTGGACATTTTGTCCCCAGATGGTGGCGCTGTTTTGGGAGGTTTTAGAAGGTGTGGCTATCCTGGAGGGAGCACATCACTGGGAGTGGGCTTACAGGGTTCTTAAGCCTTGCCAGATCTTTAGTCGCTCTCTTGCTTCCTGTGCCTGTGTGATGATGTGAGAGCTTCACTTCTGCTGCTTCTGCTCCAGCCACCTCCAGCCACCATGCCTCCCTGCCATGTTGGACTGTAATTCCCCTGGTACCGTAAGTTCAAATAAACTCTTCCTTCTATAAATTTCTTGGGTCAGTGTTTCTATCACAGCAACAGAAAAGTGACTAATACAGTAATTGGTACCAGAGAGTGGGCTGTTGACTGTGAAGAACCTGACCGTGTGGGGTTCTGAAGAAATGTGGAAGACTTTGGAAGGTTGGGCTAGAGAAGTGGTTGATTGCTGTTAGAGTTTAGTAGGCCATTCTAGTAGGGGCCTGGAAGAAAGTAATGCTGAGAACAATGTAATTCCAGAGGGAAATAAGGTCCTAAGCAGCAGTTGGGATATTTTGATAAAGAGTCTGGCTGGAGTCTGCCCACAGCCAAAAAGCTTGCCTGAGGCTAAGTTAAAAAGCCATGGAATAATTTCTCTGGCAGAGGAAATTTCAAGACAGCCTAATGCAGAAACTGTGGTGTGGCTATTAATGGTGAATATTATGCAAATCTACAGTGAAAGAGAGCAAATGTGGCAGAAAAAATACAGTTTGGATTGAAAAAGAGCACTAGGAAGATAAATGTTGGAGCCCTGACATGCATGTGATGGAGAGGATCCCATTGATAAGGAGATTAAAGTGATTAATGAGATTAAAGTGATTAAGGAGGGGCCTAGAGATTCTGACTTAAACAATGGAGAGTGGCTCCAGGGCAAGATAACATCCAGTTAAGTCTCCAATTTGTGAAAGGAAAATGCTGCAGGGGCCACTAAAGAGAAAAGCTTCTAAAATGGATAAAGCAGACTGGAGTCCATCCCAAACTTGCAGTCAAACTTGGCAGTGTTGTTCACCTGGTGCTGATTTTAGAGGCATAAAAGATGCAAGAGTGAAGGGGTCATGAGTTCTTCCTCCTCAGTTTCAGAGAGCTGCTGAGGCCAGGCAGAATGAAGCAGGGGTTCCCCTGCCTAGAGAAGGCCCTGATA